CAAAGTAAAAGTAAATTAAAGTACATGGTGTCATATAAAGTAAGAAGTATATTAAAGTACACGTAAGCTTATAAATAAATTTATTGAAGTGTACGATACCATACGAAGTAAAATAACATTAAAGTACACGATATCATCGAAAGAAGTATAGGGTGTTCCAAAAATCGTATTACCATTGAAAAACCTTGTAAATTTCATATGATACAAAGTACATTATTTGACAGCTAAGGTGGCTAGCTGATACCTGTTGGGGACATTTGTGTTTGTTTTAAAACCCAACCGAACCAACCGAATTATAGTGCAACTCTTCTGATTGGTGGGGAACAAAACGCAGACTTTGGCGTGGTCGCCAGCCTGAAGAAGGCCAGTACACATAAAGTTTCGATGGCTATGTGGTAGAACAGAGTTAAATCTATCCAATTTTTCCCAGAAGCCTCGGGTGAACACGTGATATAGTTTCCAGGCAATTTCAAAGTGTGATACACGCTGGAATCGTTTCTCAAGTCCGATATTTTCAAAAAGTCACATCACTAAAGTATATGTCATTTGAAGTGAAACAAAAAGACATAAAAAAAATAGATTTTTGAACCATTTCAAGAACCAAGCAAGGCAGTAATGACCCTAGAATGCGGTGCATTACAAGGAGTGCAAGTGAAAGAGAATGAGAATAGGGAAGATTGAGGAAAGGACAAAAAAAAATGTACAGGGTACAAGAAGATAGAAATGGAGATTGACGTTGTATTTAAATTTTTGAAGATGGTAGTTATCAGGTTCGGACTGAGGAATCAAAGAGCCGAGTTCGAATTCCAGTCGAATCCATTACGTTCACTTACGTGGTAATACCCTTGGGGAAAAGTATCTCTTCTTCTCACCCCACCCCCAGCTATGGATAAATATACACAGCGCAGAATAATCCATATCCCACTCTAACTTGTGAGGCGCTCGAGTCTTAGATGAACATTTAGTAAAAAAAAAAACAAAAAAAAACAGAAAAAGTAGGTTTTTGATCAATTACATTGACTTACGTGCTAATACCCTTGGGAAAGGTATGAATCATTTTCTCCCTCCTAAGTATAGGTAAATAGTAAGACAGACCGGGTTCTATAGCCTTGGATGGTAATTGGTCTACCGCAGAAAGAAATGGCAACCTACTGCAGGAAAGAAATCTGCCTCGTCAGTCATGTATAGAAAGATACATAATCACCTAAGCGTGTATCACGCATGTCAGATAACTGATTGAAAATCAATTACATGCTAGTACCCTTGGGGAAGGTATGAATCCTTTTCTTCTTAGCTATAGGTATATAGCAGGATCGGGTTCTATAGTCTTCGATGGCAACTGGCCTACCGCAGAAAGAAATGGCAACCTACTGCGGGAAAAATATTTGCCTCGTCAGTCATTTATTGAAAGATACAGGATTGCCTAAGCGTGTATCAGTTAACTGTTAATTTTTTATTTTTCATGCACGCTTAATAAAAGCTTATGCAACATAAACTTATGTGTATCAGATCAAAAGACTTCGAAACATATAATAGAATACAGATTATTTATACAATCTATTTGTACAGGATGTTTATACGATATGGTTATGCGATATGATTTGTACGATATAGTTATTTATTCGATTTATCAGATAACTCAGTCAGTCATGGCACATAACTGACTGAGTTATCAGGAGAACAAAAAACTGTTGGAGTAGAAATGACGGTTGCATTTAGATATTTGAGTAGTAAAACGGAGGGACCTAATTGCCAATCTAGTAGCAAGCCTGAATTCATGTAGTCAGGGCACCAGGGAAAAAATCGTCATATGAAAGTCTTTGTAGAAATTGAGAGAATGAAGCTATGTCTCGTCAATGAGAAAGTGACTGAAGACGAGATGCCAGGTCAGGATCGGTTACATCACAGATCTTTCTTTGTATTTTGTCTAGAATCTCGAGATGAATACCAGGATCACCAGAACAGATAATGGCAACTACATTCAATGAAAGAACGAACGGTAAATTTGTAAACGAACAAGATTGATTCTGACGAGAAAAAAACTTATCTGGTACGCTACAGTGAACTAACTTTCCTTGCATTAGACGAAACAACTGATTCGATATAGTCGTTCCACTACATCTGAGTGGAAAAACGTGAGGGTCAAGTAGGTGTATCGTCTTGCTCTCTTGGATTTTAGCATCAGCCATGCTGATGGCAGGCAGAAAATACTAGAATGGTCTAAACGTAAAAAGTAAGGAAACATTTTTGAGTTCGGGGAATAATTTTTGTAGGTTAGCAATCTTTCAAAATTCCCTAGAATTCGATACTTGTCAGCATCGAAAACTATTGATTTTTAGCGATTTAAAAGGGGCTTTATGTTTGTAATATCGATTCAGAGTAAAATCGATTCTCAATTTTACAGTTTGAAATAAAGTTCTATAGCCTTGGATGGTAATTGGTCTACCGCAAAAAGAATTTAAAACCGTTTCTATCCAAAATATCCAATTTAAAACCGTTTCTAACCAAAATATCTTTCAGGTCAAATGTAGACCAAAGGAAAATAAAATCGAAACCAGATAATCTATAAAAACCCAAAGCTTGTAGAAATAGGTTACATAAATAATCAGTATTCTATTTTTCGTCTCGGATTCTTTTGATCTGATACACTTATAACTTTATGTTGCATGAGCTTTTATTAAGCGTGCATAAAAAATAAAAATTAAAATATTTTATTCGAACGGCCTTTCTATTTAATAGAAAATTTAAAAGCTCTTCTATGTTCTAAACGAAGTGTATCACCAGCGATTGGGAAGTAAATCGACGCTAAATATTCACGCCAAAAGCTAAGTTCGTATTGGTGGTTTAATGGATAGCGGCTCGTATTGAGAAGTCTGAGAGCCGGGTTCGAATTCCAGTCGAGTCCGTGACATCCATTTACGCGCAAATGGCTTTGGGAAAACTATGAAACCTCTTCTTCTTCTTCTTCCAACAATGGATTAAATAGCAGGACAAACTCTGTTATCGGGCATTGATGGACATCTTCCCAACGAGAAGGGCAGCTATGAATAACTAAAGCCGATAGCGACAACATAAGCAAGATTTGTGTATTTCGACCAAAGAGCTTAACCAATGACACCCCATTGAGTTGTGCAAAGCAGCCAATGAAAATAAAATTAACGACGAAAACCGTTTCTATCCAAAATATCTTTCAGGTCAAATGTCGACCAAAGGAAAATAAAATCGAAACCAGATAATCTATAAAAACCCAACTAAACCTGTTTGTTTGATAAACATTTCGTACGCCTAAACGCATCATTTCCATGAAAATTTACATGCACGATTCTGTTGTCTATTTTCAGCAGAATATTCCAAAACTAAACTTCTCCCCATTAATTTTCTAAGAGACCCCTCTCTGATATAAATCAAAATGGCTGATGCTAACAGGAAAGTGACTTGTTGTGCCTTCTCGGGCTCACCTTCTCAGCTAACAGGAAGTGGAATTGACGATATTGAATCCATTGCTAAGTCAGCTTCTAAGAAAGTCAGTTCACTGTGTCGTGTTTCTCTCCTGACTCTATCTTACATATCTATAAGTCAACCATACGTCCATGCTTAGAATATTGCTCCCAATGTAGTCGGTCCTGACTTGACCTCTCGACTTCAATCACACTCTTATAGACGTGATGTGGCTATCCCCTCTGACTTTTCTAAAAAAATATTTTCCTGACAGCCGTTCTGATGAGCTATCTTCCCTGGTGCCCCGACTACATGAATTGAAGCGTGCTACTAGATTGGCATCTAGGTCCCACCCTTTTACTGTTGAAATAGTTAAATGCAACCGCCACTTCTACCCCAGCCGTTTCTTTTTTCGTGCTTCGTTAAACTTTCTTCCTCTTACTTGCTTCCCTGATAACTATATATATATATATATATATATCTTTTTAAAATTACTTCAACTCCTAAAAGAGAGGTTTGAAACTTTCTAATTTTAAGAGATATTTATTTAATACATTATTTGTGACTAGTAAATGGATATTTAAAATTTTATAGGTTGACCATACGGTCTTCCATTTTTAATATTTCTTTTCATTTTTGATATTATTCTTATATTTTGGAAGGGACGCGCATGTGCCCTGGTGTAAATAATAGCCACTCGAAATACGAAATCAGAAACTGGAGATCCGAGTTCGAATTCCATTCAGGTCCGTAATATTCACTTACACACTAATATCCTTAGAAAAGGTATGAATCCACCTCTTCTCTCTGGAAAAAAAAATCTTATAATCTAGATTTTTTTCTGGCTTATTTAAAGTTAAAAACAGTAAAAAATAACTTCAATCAACCTAAAACCTAGGCAAACCATTGCTGCTCTGAATTCAGTACATGTGGCACACCCGCGACATGGATACGTTAAAACTCTTGTGGCGTGAGGTGACGAGACGAGACGTGACGTAACGTAACTCACTCAATCCTCACTCTTAAAATCAAAATCAAATCCCCATCGAAATGGCAGATCCTCTCCCTTACGTCTGGATGCTCCCAGTCATATTGCCTCTGTTCCCTTTTTTTTTTGTTATAAAACGAACGCTAGGGATTAGGCTGCGGATTGATATATATGACTTGAAAAAGGGAATAAACAAAAACACAGAGAAGGAGGCGAAGCGAAAACTGAAATTAAATGTTCTGTATACAATCAAGCGAGAGAAAGAAAGAAAGAAAGAAAGAAAGAAAGAAAGAAATAAAGAAACGGAAAATAATAATGTATAAAAAGAAAGAGGACAAAAGAATGAAAAGGAAAGAAAAACAAAGAAAGAAGAGTATAAAAAGGGGAACGATAAAGAAAATAAACAATAGAAGACGAATACAAGGTAAAAGCCATAAAAGAGGACATTTTTGTATATGCACATGTTATGATTTACATAAATACATCATTGTGTTTATGTAAATATTATCTTTGACATGAAACAGAAAATGAACAAAAAGCAATTCAGCATCTTATATGGTAACTATACCAGCCTTACAGCCATATCACGTAGAAACAACTGTTTTCGTCCGATCACCGAAGTTAAGCGACTTTGGACATGGACTCTACCTCGATGGGTGACCGCTTGGGAATACCAAGGGTTGCACGCTTGGATTTCCGGAAAGGCTCGGAGTCTGAAATCGTAGAGTCATGGGTGATCCTAAACCAAAAAGAGACATGTGTGTCCCATCCGCTCCTACTAAAACGCGTTGGGGGTCAGCGCAGTAGGTTAATGACCAATTACTTCCCCAGGAATCTAAGGAAGACCTACGTCCAACAAAGGACATTCACAGGTTGAGAAGAAAAGAAAAAATGAAAGAAAGATTAATACCGCAGCTCTCAGGCCAAAGTACATACATATGCAAAAATAAAGTTCAGTGACTAAATACAAAAAGGGTGCAAACTACGTAAAATAATGATGGAGGTGGCAGCAGATCATATCATGTAATCGGAAGGAAAATACGGAGAACAATCTTAAAAAAAAGATTTTCTTCTGAAAAAAAAAAAGTGAAAGCAATTAAGAGATGATTCTCTAGAAAGTAAACATGTGCAAATAAAACGGAAGCAACATCCGAATAAGGAAATTTTGAGTCGTTTTTCGGAAGTCGTAACGAAACCGGAAGTCAGGCAATGTGACGACTAGTAATTTGGTGCAATAAATGAAGGAAGCAGACGACGGGCATAAAGGAACGTTCTTAATAGAATAACCAAGAAACGCATTAAAAATATTGAAGTAGTTTTTTGACAAATAAACTATTAATTCATTTCCAGGATTTGGGTGTTTAAATAGGTGACGGAACCCTACAAAAAAACCCAAAAAACAAATAAAAAAACAGAAAGATAAAAAAAGTGTAGAAAAAGAAAGAGGATGTTTAACGAACTTGTGCAAAGGATCTAAAATGGATGATTATATTTTCAGAAGCAGAAGCCGATAGAAGATTGCAACTGAAGCTGAAGTATTCAAATTCAAAATATTAGTCGTCAGCCTTCCACATTTTTTTTGTTCTTTGTCCTCTTGTTTCTCTTAACTACTTTTGGGAATCTGGTGCTTTTATACACCATCGCGCATGCTTATTCAAACTTTCATTTTAATTCAATAACCATTTTTTCAATTACGTCCTTTCAATCAATAATAGCACAGTTACTACGACAACTACTACTACTACTAATATAATAATAATAATAATAATAATAATACCAGAAAAATGCTTACCCAAATAAGGATCCACCACCCGAAATCAGATACTGATAGGCTGTATATACCAAGAGCTTTAGGAAGCCGAGGTCTAACCCAACTTTAACTAACTCTAAAAACTACAACAATCGGATTGGAAGCCTACCTCACAAAAACCAAAGACCCTCTCCTACAAATAATAAAACACCAAATCCACTCCATCATAAAGAAGCTGTACTCTTCAAGAACGGCTTATATGATATATATATATATATATATATATATATATATATATATATATATATACCTGAAATCCTACCAACAAAAAAAGACGACGGGAATACCATTTGCGCCAAACGAGTAGAACAAAAAGCAAAACAATTTAAATAAAATTACAAAAAAAAAAACCTGGGAGAAAAAAGCGTTGTTGTTCATAATAACGGTCGTCTTCGAGTATAGAATCCAGAGGTTAGCAGTGAATATTTCGAAGATAGTAGGGAAGCGTTGTTCAGGTTAGCAGTGGATATTTTGGTAAAAGTAGCAGTTCTTTCTGTTTCTCTTCGCCTGACAAGCTGGACTGGACATTCGGGTAGAGTAAACAAAATGGCCACCTTTATACACGACGGATTGAATATTCTACGTCTTCTGATTGGTTAACCTTCTATCGGTGGACTATAAAGTGAGTCAAGTCATTTGGGCTAACACACTAGTACATAGTACCCCAAAAACTGCAACAGGCGTTGCATGGCAAATACCTAAAAAGAACGAAAGAAGCAGACGTGGGTCAACAGAAAACAGTGGCCGAGGAACACCGGGTTGAAAAGTGAGAGAGAAGTTCTAATTATTGCAGCAAAGCATCACAACCAGATTCTATGACTGTCACACATAATCCAGGATGGAACTAATCCTAAAGACATGTGAGAGATGCTACTTGGTTTCAATGAAGAAACAACTGTTGCGTCCTGCCCATGTCTCGTAAATAATAGGCTATTTCGTTTACATTGTGTGGAAAAGACATATCAGAGACACTACATGGTTGAGTAAGAAAAAGAAAGTACGGTGTCATGTCTGCCTCAGTGAAATGAAAAAAGAAATTAGAATCTTTTCATTTGTACCCACTTTTTAAAATAACGACCAGCATTCCTATTTTTGATTGTTATTGCAATATTCTTTTAAAGTTGTTAAACTCAAATATGTTACGATGTGATTTGGAGAATTTTTGCGGTTATTTTATTTTAGAACATGCCATAAACGTATTCAACCCCTAACTTGAAAATTAAGATTCATCAGAAAATTCAAAATAGGAAAGCCGGGACATTTTCACGTACATTTTTAGTAATAATATGATTCTGCGTCCCTTAATAATAATAATAATAATAATAATAATAATAATAATAATAATAATAAACGTGCACATGGGAACATCAACAATCCCTGTTGTAGTTAGAGCCCTATGACTGGTTGGAAAAGATTCCAGTAGACTAATTGAAGGGATTCCTGGAAGACCATGCCTCAAAGAAATACAAAAAATTGTTCTCATGAGTACAGTCCACACCTTACGAAGGTCTTTATGTATGTAAAATATTTTTTTATCTTTATTTCTTTTTTTTTTTTTTTGTCAGTGGAAAACGTCATGATACCAATTCTAACCTTAGGTCTCTGGGCTGGACCCGGAAAGAAATATGTACACACCAGAAATCAAAGGAAATAATAATAATAATAATAATAAATGTGGCATATGGGAACATCAACCATCCCTGTTGTAGTTGGAACCCTAGGATTGGTTGGAAAAGCTTCCACTAGACTAATTGAGGGAATTCCTGGAAGCCCATGCCTTAAAGAAATACAAAAAATTGTTCTCACAAGTACAGTCCACACCTTACGAAGGGCTTTATCTAAGTATTTTTTTTTTTTTTTTTGTCAGTGGAAAATATCAGGATGCCATTTCGAAAGCTGAAAAGACGTATTAAAGAGAGAGAGAGAGTGAGAGAGAGAGAGAGAGAGAGAGTTTGGTTTCAGTGAGAAGACGAAAGAAGAAAGAGTGAATAAAAGAGAAGCTAAAGGAGGTGATAATGCTCTTACGTGTTTCACGTCTGTTTCAATGAATTGTGAAAAAAAAAACCTTTCCACGGGTACGTAAAATGCGGGCGTAAATTGAACTTTTTACTACTCTCTTAATGGTAAGTGTGATCAGTTCGATCAGGGCAAATCGGCAGCTGATCTAAAAAAAAATCAAAACAAAAAAACCTAAAATCTATTCCCAAAGATAAGTATATATGTACTGGCAAAGAATCAGCTATTGGCGACTATCTGCATTTCTTTAAAAACAGCTTAAAATGAAATTTTTTTAAAATATTTTTTTTAAATAAAAGATAAATTTTAGTTTTTTCCAGGCTCCTCTTACAATCAAAAACTTCAAATTTCTATTCGTCTGTCCACAATCATCATCATCATCATCATCATCATCATCATCCCTTTGGCTTTTGTAATCGTAGCGGGTGGTGGTGGTGGTGGTGGTGTGTGTGTGGGGGGTATGATCCGAATGCAGAAGCCATATTGAATCTCTTCCGCAGCGATCTATCAAGGGCAGCCATCAGCAGTTCTGGTGTAGTCCTACTTGTTGATCCTCTTGCTTCATAATCTTTTCAGTGGACTTGTAGATAACTTGGCGGCACCCATCTCCCTTCCAATACATTTTGCTAAATTATGAATATTTTGTACCATAAAACAGTATACAGGGTGACCTCATTTTGTAATCTAATAACATCGCCAGTTCGCGCTCTCATGATCAAAAATTTTAACAAAATGTGTAAAAACGAAGTTGACTGTGTTTTCTTATCTCAATGAGAATTTACCAAGGAGATGGATCAGGCATGATGACAATGTGATGTTGAAATGGTCACCACGTTCCTTGTGATTTTTTTTCTATTGGGCTATGAAAAGATAGGTCTATATCCCCTCTAAGCAGAGAATGACTGAAGCGCTGGGGAATGATACACATAACGTGCTACTGCGTGTTTGGCAGGAGCTGGACTTGTTGTTTGTCGTGTCACAGGTGGTGCGTATATTGAACCTTTGTGAAGCATTGTGAAAGCGGTTATAACATCTACAATGTTTTGGGCATCTTGTTCGAATTTTGATTAATAAATCTTTTATTGTTCAACATGAACTTTCCTGGGACTTATAGTTACACAGATATTCACGGTTTAAATGATGTCAATATATGGCCACTCGTATTCGAGGATACCTGTCGGCTAGCCAATCCCTATTGCAGATGATCGTTCAGGCACATTTGTGTTTTATACTGCAACTATGCTGAGCAGACCCTAGTTACAGTTCCTGGGAAAGAGCGTGTTATCTAGCGGGAGTAACAATTTGAACAAGGCCTGCACGCTCAAGACCCCGGCCACGATGATTTGTGATATCGTGCTAGCATAGCTATCGACGGCACCCAAGGGTTTCGTCTACCCAATTCCACTCACTAGTCTTGTGTCCAAAGATGCCCCACATCTCTTAGTCATTTTATCTCCTTCCTGAGATATCGATCATGGTCAGAATGCGGACGTTCTAAGCACTCAGCCACGTGTTGTCTTAACACAACCAATACGAAAAACAAACACAAAATACTTCTGGCGCCCACTTAAAACAGACATCTGAGTCACCTAAGCAATGAGAATAGGGGAATTAAACTAAATAGCAATCACTGTTAGTAAAGATATCACTGATTTCTCTGGTCAGTGAATGCCAAATGTTTCCTTATAAGGAAACGTCTAATATGACTTTTACACTTAGATCTTTTCGCAAGTGAATCAAGTCTAGTGGTTCATCAGCGTAGCTTTTTAGATATTTGAGCCGGCTAATAGTCCCCACATTTAAAATTGTACTGATAAATGGATCAGAGTTAATGTTACATGCTTAAGGTTTATTATTGGGA